GGCACCCAGGAGAGCAGTTTGAAGGGAAGCTGGCTCAGCTGGGAGGTGCAGCCCCTTTTGCCTCTTGCCCTTCCTTTGGTTTCCCACTGAACAGTGGCTGTGAGGACCGGCACTCCAACAGCCATCTCAGTCCATGAAGCAGCCTTGATGATGAGAATGGCACTAAAAATTGAGGAGCCTAAAGGCAGGAGTCCATTTCCAATAACCAGATCACACCAGCCATGGCTTTCTTCCCTCCAGATTCCCTTCATAGGAGAGAGAAATAAACCTTAACTTATTATAAACATAGTCTAAACCTGCTTGTTTGGATCTTCAGTTATATGGGACCCAACCTAATCCTAACAAAATCCCAGATAGATGTTGGGTCAGTGTTAGCTCAGATGCCCCCTAGGAAAGCCAGATGGAGAGGTGGAAACACCTTTCCCAGGACTACCTGCCCCATTAACCAATGTCCTGCTTGAGTTCCTGGCCCCCAACCGTTCTTCCATCCAAAACTTTCTTGCAAAGTAAAAGCTGATTAAGTTCTGTAGAAAATGAGCAAGCATGCCTTTTCCCTTACCCCTTACCTGGTTTTTAAAGATAAGAAATTGGCACATCCTTTGATGAAAAGGAGAAATTAGATGAGGTGACCCCATTCAGAAATCCATATTTGACTGAAAAGAAGTAAGAATCCTCTTATGAACAAAAGGTGCATCTTACCGATTAGATCATTGCACTTTGGGTTTGTTTTCTCTTGTTGTTTTATTTGTTTGTTTGTTTTGCCGATTTAATATCTATGCTGCCTACTGGCTGCAGGCAGAACAAGGCAGGAGGCATGACTGGTTTTTTCACCACTGCGTCCCCAGAACTGGGCAGGGAGACTGGCACACAGTAGGGGCTCAGTAAGGATTTGTTGAATAAACAGATGAATGAGTGGCTGGATGGATAAATATACATTCAACTTTTCATATTTATACTGGTCCTTCCAGTTATTGTAGGCAAAGCAATCACGTGACAGCTTTCAACGACTGGCATCGGGGGCAGGAGGGTAAGTGTTGGGCCTACCTTCCCATTCCTCAGAGACTGTGGGAGGCCCTGCAGTAGCATTATCAGTGACTGAGAGATTGTCCAGAATGAGGGAGGGAGTGAGAGCATCACTGTAGGACTTGCAACCCACTCTTAGCACCACCTGTCGCCCTAACTGCATCATTTAGCCTCTCAGGGTCCCTAGCATAGGGCCCCCATATGCAAAATAAGAAAGTTGAAGGAAATGATTCTCAGCGCTTCCTCCCCGGTGATCTAGTCAATCAAGGAACGCAGAAGAGATCTTAGCGTCTGAAAATAATCTCTAGTCTCAGTTCTTAAAGGTTTGCTTACCATGATTTTTATTATTTTTTTCATGAATGAACACAAGGTGCCAGGGAACCCTGGGAGTGAATAGGCACACCCCTTTCACTGTTTATCACCAGTAAAACAAAAGACCAAAAATCAGCATCAACAGATGACACAATACAGTTGAGACCATTAAAAATAATTACTCCCAAACTGGGGCATTATAAAATACATCGTGAACTGCAAACAGATTTGCTCAATGAGAGAGAGCTTCATCCCTTTTATGCTCCACGGATGCCAGCAGGAGTTTCTCAGGGTGGCAGGGGAAATGAAAAAGAAGCGCCTGGCCAGGAAGGCTGTACGGTATCCCCAATGACCTGCCACAGAGATGACTTTTAAAGCAGCATTTGTCTCAGCAAGAGTGACAGCATTTAAGAAGTGGCCAGGTCCCAGTGCCAGACAATCCTTCATGGGGAAAAGCTGCAGAGCACAGCCATACCTTTGCAAAGGCCTAAGTGATGGATGAGATGGAAATGTCCTTGGTCAGTTAGGTGGTTGGTGTGAGGAGTCAGAAAGATAATGCAGAAGGCAGAGCTTGGGAATCACACGGAGTTTACCCCTACATTGCTGCAGCCATCCCAACGCTCAAAAATTCATCAGGTTTTAGATTCCCAAGATCCACCTGAACTCAAAACGCAGATTCTCACTGCCTTGTCAATTTCTTAAGCAGTAACTGCTCACTGAATTCATCCCACTGGGGAATAATATTAGATGGGATGTGGTAATCCTGGTTGACACAATTCTCTTTTAGGAACATAGCCGGTGTACTTCATGTCACAAGAAAGTATATTACAGCTATATTACACTGATCCTTTCATTACTGATGTAGCATTTATGTTGGGTAACTCCTGTAAAACACTGCGAAAAACACTAATACACAACAGTATATTTATAAATTTGGGGGAATCAGGATTCAAATGAGTTGACATGTCTTGCTTCCCTGTACAGGAAAAAAAAAAGATGAATAAAGAGGCGGGGGGTTCTAGAGAAGCAGAGAAAACATTTTAACCATTAAAACTGATATCAACTCCAGGGTAGAAAGGTGTCATAAAATTTACTCTTTCCTCCTGTCCACTTACTACTCCAAAGAATAACCAAAAGATGTCCCGAAGCTGTCCTGGGACCTAAGCACTTCCCTCAAACAGAAAATACACTCCATGCAGCCACCATTATCCTTCTTTAAATTTTTGAGGTTTCTGGTAGGAAACGTGTGGCACTTTACAGAACTGAGAGCATCACAAATCAATTCAGAGAACTGGTTTCTTGCAGACTGATGTTCATCTGGCCTCAGTAAGTTCACCGCCAGTCACAGCGGCTCATAGCTCACTGCCCCTTCCACGCAGGACAGTTCTGATGGAGGAAATGTTGTGCCTGTTCTCTGAGTCAGGACTTCAGTTTGTTACTGACCTCTGTCAAAGCAGTTTGTTTCGGGTTCCCCACCCGCACCCCCAGTCATGCTTCACACTGGATCTCAGGAAAGCGTTCTCTTGCAGCACTGAAGGAAAACCTATTTGACACCCACTGTACCCCCTAACTCCCATGCCAGTGGCATCTGCTTCAAAAACCCTGAACTGAGACGCAGAGCGTAGGCTTCCCATGGGACTGGATCATTATAACGAATATGGATTGTGTTTTATGGCTTAAAGAAACAGAAGGAATTTATACTTTGCAGAACGGGAGCTACACTTCCCCATCCCGCCTTCCATCCCCCATGTTGTCCACCACGTTTTACGCTCGCCAACAAAGAAGGTGCCAGAGGCCACTGGACACTTCTCTTGTTGCTGCTGGGTGAGCAGCAATGTTAAACGCCAGGACTGAAGGATGCTGAGCTTGTGTCTCACCGGTGATCTGTGTAAGAGAGGAAAGCAACTCCTTCACCCAAGCGAAGAAAAGTGCCCGGGTTAAATGAACCACACCACGTGGGTTTGCTAAGTGTGTCCTCCCGCCAGCAGGTTAAATGGCTGTGAGAAATTGTGCTTGGGCTTCGTTCAGTCAGCCCCAACTTCCTGGGACCTCAAACATCAAGTCCTCTCGAAATATGGCTAAATATGCTGGCAAATATTTGCAGATACCATTTCTGCAAATTAAACTCAAATACAGTTATGTACAAAGTTAGTTTACAGAGTATCTATCCCATTAAGTTTCTTTGACTAGATCAAAATAGGAGTAAATATTAGTCTTAAATTGGCCACCTAATCATCACAGAAAACTTAGGACATTTGAGGGGAGAAAGGAGATATCTATAGATATTGCTCAAATACTTGGTTTCCTAAATCAGAGTATCTTCAATGCTATTGTGCCAATTTTCAAATGGAAACTATGATGATACTTTAAATGCAAAAATATATGTATCCTTGTACTTCAGTATTCATAGGGTGACGCTGACTTCCCGGCCACATCGATTTGTCAGGTCCTTGGGCTCCGAGGAACTTTATGAAGAAGCTGGAGTGTTTCTCGCCCTCAGATTCATTTTGAAATGCAGAAAAAGTCCTTGCACCTCACTTTTGGAAATGCACACCCCTTGCCTTAGTGTGCACACCCACTGGAAGGGTTTATCTTTTCTCCCTGCCTTGGGCTGGGGACATCGGAAGTCAGGCATGCAGCTCTGTGATGGTTCTAAGGGAGGGAAGTTCAGGACACCCCCAAATCAGTCACCTGAGTTACTAACATATTAACAGCTGAAATGGGTGCTAAACTAAGGGTCACAAAATCAACTTCTCCTCCTCTGCTACCCAGATGTCCTCTGGACAGTGACGGACAGGAAGTGTGGGCACATTTAAGGTTCCTGGACAAGGTTCTTCCAACATTTCCGTTCCCCAGAGGTTGTTCACATCAGGACCTGTTCTCGAGTCTCTGGCAGTCGAAGAGCAATCAGGCCACCCCCCACGAGAGAGGTGGCAGCCAGAAGGATGGGGACCACTTTGGTGATCCCAACAAAAGAAGCAAAGATGGTGTTTCCCAGGATGGCGCCAAATTTGCATAATCCATTGAGGATGCCAAAGGCTGTTGCCCTGTAAAAGAAGAAAGCGAATCATTCTAAAATACACGAACTAGACCTCCTTAGATGGGACTGGGTTCTTTCCTTCCCTTGTTAAAGAAGAATAGTGAAAGTGTGGGAGGGAATTTTGTTTCCTAAATATAATAACAACACATTCTCAAATTTGGAAATACAGACTAACATAAAGATGCAAGAATGTGCAACTTCACCACTGAAAGGAATCACCGCTATCAACATATTGGATTATCTCCTTCAAACTTGTTTCTTTTTCTTTTCAAATGTATCTTTTGAAATGTTCACAGGTAGTACATGAGTGCTGTGACATAATGAAAGAACGAAGAAGGATGAGGTGAAAGGATCAGTGGTTCCCCTTGTGGCAGGACTGCTGGTTGTCCCGAACGAGCATTTCTCCAAACGTAAGACCACATTTCCCAGACTCCCTTGCTTCTGAGTCTGGCCCCGTGACTACGTTTAGGCCAATGGGATGTAAGTGCAAGTGGCAGCCCCTGAGAAACTTCCTTAAGAGATGTCAAGAGTGGGCCTTTAGCTCTCTCCCCTTTTATCCTTCTTCCTTCCACCCTGCTTCCTGGAATATCGACGGTCTCATCTTGGACGATTGCTAAGGTCACGAAAGGGGAAGAACAAGGTAGAAGGGTCTGCAGTGCCTACCTTCCTAAGTCTACAGCTATTTGAGGGTTTCCATCACCCACGGCAGAACTTAATCCTAATTATTATTAATCACAGTTCCCAGTGATTACTATAGTTAACCATCTAACCTTTCTTGACTCCGCTTATATACAGACACAATATTCACACCTTTCCTCCCCAAATTAAGTTCAATGTCTCTATTTCATACACAAGTTTATTAAGAATGTGGCTAAACTGCTGTACTTCAAATTCTTTTTACACTTTTTCTGTGACTTGACCGAACTCTACCTTGACACTTTTCCACCAGCTCCAACCCCTATCTTTTTGTTTTCAGAATTGTCTTGGATATTCTCACGTGTGTATTTTTCCAAATAAACTTTAGAGGGATTTTTTTCAAGTTCCCAGAGAGGGTAAAAAAAATCTCACTGACTTTTGAATGGACTCTTTTAAGCTAGAAGAAAACTAAGTATCTGACATTTTTGTAAGATTACATCTCCTTAGACTTCAATAAGATACACCCTGACATCTATGTCTTCTTTCATAAGTCTCAGTAAAGCTTTATGGTTTTCTTTACGTAAATGTTTCACCTTTCTCATCAAATCGATTCCTATACATTTTATGATTTCTTCCATTATTAAATGGATTTCGATTTTATTTTTAATTTTGATCTATTTTGAAATCTCTAAATTACTACATGAGCTTTATTATCAACCACCTTACCAAATTATTTCATTATTTCTAGTAGTCTCTCTAGTTAATTCTCTTGAGTTTATGGGATTTAAAATCACATACCATTGAAATAATGGTAACTCTTCCTCCTCTTATTTTTAATAAAACTTCAAAGTTCTTTGCTTCACAGAAGAGAGGCTCGAAATAGGGTGCTCTGTGCTTTCCCATAGCTCCCTGTATTCCAATACCACTGTCATCAATCTTGGGAATATCAGTAAGTTTTTTTTTTTTTATAGCTGAATTGTATTTTCCTGCCTTCCATGCCACGTCACATTCCTCTCTGGCCCAAGAGCCATTTACCTGCTGTCCTTAAAATTCCCCCTCCATGAGAAGAAGGAACTTGTAGGTAATGGCCTTGACCCTATGCCTTTAACCCAGGCCTCTCCCCACATGGCTTGCCCCAAATAAAAACCAACCCAGGCATCCTTGCCACATTCTCCACAAATGCCCTAGACCATCATGCCTCATGCCCACCTTCGTTTCTACCCCAACCTTTGTTTGTCCAGTTCTTCACCTTTTCACTTCATTTCCCACTGGCAGGCCTGTTCTCACCTCTGTTTAGATTGCATGATACGTGTGGTTTAGCCCTAATTCTTGTCTACCGGACAAGGTTGGCACTAGTCCTTTGCATCTTGCTATCCACCCCATCCTATTAAGCCTTAACGTTCCCACTTCCAGACCTATGCCAGCCCCCAGGCAGGAGAAACTCAACAACCTAAGAGAGCTTTGGTCTCTGGGACACCAGGAAGCCCGAGATGGCTGTGGTGGAGGATCTGGGAGCAGGCAGACTGCTGACCACAGAAGTCCGAACAAGCCCCAGAGGGAAGCCCAGGGAAGAGCTGACCTCTGGTTGGTGGGATACAGCTCCACCGTGATGACATCCAGAGCATTCCAGGCGGCAATGCTGGTCCCGCAGAACAGGCACTGCCAGCCGATCATGGCAGACTCACTGTTGCCAAAAAACAGGAAGAAACAGCAGACCGCCGAGATGAGCATGGAGCCACCTGCAGAAGGAGATCAGGGCAGAAAGAGACGTGAAGCCCGTGTCAGACAAGACCTGAAGGTACGGGTTCATCTCTACATGAAGAAAGCACAGCCTGCATCCCCACAGGGTCCCCCAGCCACGAGACTAGTCTTCTGCCTGGGTCATGTCACCAGAATTAGCCTCTAGGAAGGATTTCGAAATCCTTACTCTGTGGATTGTCGTCAGTTATTCAGGGCTGGGCATCAGCTGAGAGTCTATGATGCACCAGACATTGTTCCTGATGCCTGCAATGCATCAGTGTCAAAAAGACTCTTAGATTCCACTGAGAACATAGCTGTGAACGGGCTACAGAAGGACACCTGAACAGCGCGAGGCTGCTTATTCTCCATTCACGCCCATCTCCACCCCAGATATCCAAGCTACCCTTCCCAGCTCTGCTCTCTGCCCTGTGGACTGCGTACCTGGGGCTCCCTTGTCAGTGGGGAGGACAAAAGGATTGGAGTATTCCTTCCCAATTCCCAACCTGCTTTATAAGCCCCTTTTGTGGCCAATGCTGCGTCCCTCCAGGATTCCAGTTCCTTCTGGTGCCTCTTCCTTCTTGGTCCCAGCTCTCCCTGGGCTCTGTTACTGCTGCCTTCTCCCCTTGTCCCTGCAGCTCTAGAAATGGTGCCTGCTGCCCACTTTGCTAGTATCTGGGTAACTCATCAGCCTCATTTGTTCCCATAACCCTGCCCACATCTCTAAAGCTGCCCCACCGACATAGTCTCTTCCATAGAACTACCTGGGGTGAATTATTTTTCCCACCAGGACTGTGGGTGATACAGTTAACGGTAAGAGATCCCACTGAAAGAAGACTGTGTCAAATCCTGCCCAGATCCAGTACGTCCTGCCCAGAGGAGCTCGGGATGTCTGGCGTGGACGCAGGGCAGGGACCAGCTGTATGTCTGGAAATGCAGTGGGAATAGTTAGCAGAAAGGGAACAAGGAAGCAGGTCCCAAACAACCAGCTGGGAAATAGGGCAGGAGCCCCCACCAGGCATCGGGACCCTGGGGAAGGGAGGTCTTCCGGTTGCCAAGAAGCCAGAAGGCCAGCTTGGCCTCACAACAAGTGCCTCCCCGGGGAGCCTCCACCTGGAACCTCACGCTTAGACCTGGAGCTGCCAAGACTGGTGCCAAACCCTGCTGGCGAGCTGGGGAACGGTAACTGCCCACCTGGACTCTGCTGATTCTGGGAAGGGGCAGAGCTGTGCGTGGGTAGCCTGGTGACTTCTTTCCAAACAGCTAGGAGAGCACTAGAATGATAGGGGACTGGCTTCTACTGGACCGCGAGTGCCCTGAGAACTGTACCATCAATATGCACGCACCCCTCCAAGTGGCCAGCCATGAGGCTTGGTGCACAGTAACTGTTGACAAACGTTTCCTGAATACAAATATCAAATAAACCAAATGACTCCTCAACTATGTTAGGTCTTCCTGCTAAAAGTCCCTATGACCCACTGTACTTCCATCCTCATAATTAATTCTTATTCCCCTTATGTTGAAGAGGCCTGAGGTCAAATCCCAGCTCTCCCTGTGTGACCTTGAGTGAGTCACTTAACCTCTCTGTGCTGTCTCACTTTCCCCATCGCAGAGTTATTCTAAGGGTTAAATATGATACTATTTACAAAATGCTTGGAACAAAACCTGACCTATAATAAGCACTTCATAAGTGTTATTTAAATGAAATTTCTAGTTTATGTCTGTCTCTCCCAATTGATCATTTGCTCCTTAAGCACAAGGATGCTGTCTGCCTCAATTACTGCTGTATTCCCATTGCCTGTTGTACAGCCTGGAAGAGAATTGCACTGCATAAATTAATGTTTATTGGATGAATAAATGAGGAGTAACC